TAGGAGTCCCGTCTTCCCCCATTCTTTCGAAATACAGGAAAGAAGGCGCCAGAAGCCATTTAAAGGCGGGAGCGCCTTCTTTTTTAACGTAATTTGGCTTTCTTTCCCGAATAACCAGCTTCGCTGTCCTATTCCTTTCCTCCCCTCCACCACACCCACCCAACAGCTCGGCGGGAAGGACCCCGGATACCTACCAACCAAACCTCAAAAGCAGCTCCCGCTCGGCCGCAGGCAGAAATAAGAGAACGCTCGAAACCCCGCCCCCTCCCTTTCGTTGGGCCTGCTCTGAGCCCGCCCTCCGCCCAATCGCGAAGCGAATTTTCTAAATAGAGCCGAGGGGTGGGGGGAGGGTAAAGGCCGAAGTTGCTCCGTCAGGGTGGTGGGCGCGCCTGCGTGTCGCAGTTTTCGACGTGTCTATTAGAGAGGGAGGGGAAAAAAAATCCGGGGGAAGGGACACTTTCATTAGGAAGTATGGGAGAGGGGAAGGAAGTACGGTAGTTGCGCTACGAAATGCGTCGGACTACAGCTCCCATGACCTCTAGCGAGGATGGCTCACTTTCCCCCCCTCACGGGGTTTAGAGGAATTATAAGCGTGCAAGAGGCTCCGATAGCGGGGTTGTTTTGCTCGTTTTTCCTCAAAAGGCTGAGCGAATTCCCTGTTTTCCTTTTCCAGACAAATTTATCCTTTTCGCTCACGCGCTATTTTTTTTTATTGTTTAAGATCCTCCTTCCTTGCCTTTTAGTCATTGCTCCCGTTTCCTTTCTTAGATACACTAAAGTGCTTTCGGAGAAACGACTGGTAGAATTGCCAATTCAAGAGCAGCGTTCGGCTGCAGCTGAATAGAACAACGATGCACTCCGTTCTCATCCCGATTGGAGTTGTGCAGAGTATAAATGCCTGGTTTTGCTTCGTGGCTTTTGCAGCGCGAGGCGTGGAGGTGCAAAAGCCACACGTCTCGTTTTAGTTGACGTTCTGAACTGCAGTTTTTCTCCTAACCGCTAGAAAACCACCAGATTTGACATGAACTGTTTTTTCTCTGCTGTGCTCTTGGCACATAGGATAGTATCCAAGCTGGAACAGGAAGTAAATTAGGAAGCATTTATGATACAGCAGTATGTTGTTGTTTTTCTATCTCACTTCCTGCCCCCCCCCCATCCTATTCTGAATCGAAAGCCCGTTTGGCTTTTTAAAGGGATTAACAGAGGATAATTTCCAAAAATGAGGCCAGGAGAAATAAAGTGGAATAAAATGACACATTTTGGCAACGGTCGGCTCTCCAAGCTTGTTTCAGTTTAGTTTCTGAACGTTTCGTTACCTGAAGCAGGATTTTCTTGTTCCATTCTCCTTAGCTTATTAAAAAAAAACCAAGCTACAAATATTTTCTATTGTTTCAAAATGGCACATTATTTGTATAGACCAATACCTTGCATGTCTATTTCCATAACACGGTGGGGTGGGATTACTTAATTATGTGTGAGGTTTCAGTATGATGATTACAAGTGTCCCCAGTGTTAAACAGATGCTTTTCTTTTAAAGACTAAAAGGGTTTTGCTTTCTGAGAAGCAATTACAGTTACAATTGCTTTCAAATTGGCATAGGAAGTTAAATTGTGCATCTCTAATTTATTAATAATTAGCTGATAACCTGGCATTGCCCGGGTATTTATCCCAATTCTGTATTAGGCAGGAAAAGGAATGGATTATATCTATAGTGTCAAATGAAAGTAATTTTATTTACAGGGTTTTAAAAGTATAAGTAAAGTATACAAATTATAAAGGAAGCTCTAGATCAGGAGTGTCAAACTTAAGGCCCAGGGGCCAGATCTGGCCCACTGGGTGCTTAGATTTGGCCCATGGAACCACCTTGGAAACAGTGAAGGACTTACCTACGGTGCATCTGCCAGCAAAAATGGAGCTCCGCTTTCGCTGACAGAGGTTTGCAGGAGGCTGTCACAGCCAGAAATGGAGTTCAGGAGCCCATTTTTGCAGGCAGAGTGCTTGGGCCATCAGAGGCAGAGGGTTGCAGGAGACCGTCACAGCCAAAAATGGAGCTTGGGATGCCACAGGTGCCCCCAACATGAATGACGTTGAGCTGGCCACAGCCCCCCGGCCCCCCGAAGTCAAACACCACCCTGGTGTGGCCCTCAGTGAAATTGTGTTTGACACCCTTGCTCTAGATGTTAACAGCTCTATCTCTCTTACAGTGTAGTCAGTCCTCATGCTGTTGTACTGTCTCTAAAGTTCTAGATGTAGTAGCTCTCTTGTGCAGCATCACAAGTCTTCTATTCCTGTCCTTGGAGTTTCTTGTCTACGCTGGTGTTTCATTTTTGTAGCCTTTGATTGCACTTGGCCAATCGCCTGATGTTTCCTTGGAGCACAGCATTGTTACAGCCATGAAATATATTATTATGGAATACAATAAAGGAAATGTAAGAAAAAGACACTTGGGCCTGGTCCTGTTACCTCAACCACTGTGGTGAGAATTAGAGACCTAATCCCCTTTAACAGAGGGAGCCCCCTTACGGAGTACTGTGAAGCTGTTACCATGGCAGCTCCACTGTCCTGTACAGTAGAAGCCATTTTAAGGCACAACAGGCTGTATCTTAACAGAACTTGAATCCAAATTGCACACTATCACTGTCAAAAGTACTGTGATTTGACACTATAGATATAATTCATTCCTTTTCAGCGGCCCAGGCGTTCCAGAGTTATGCTGGTATACACACACAGACACACACACAGAAGGGTGTTAGGGGTGTCTTACCCCCACAGTATTTTTTTCCAGAGGGTAAGTCATCTGTCTTCATGTTTTGTTGAAATTGCTCAGGGCATTCTAGAGTTATGCTGGAACATACACACACACACATTTTTATATAGAGAGAAGATAGAAGAAGATGTATTTACTAGTAGAATGCTGACAAAGAGGCCAACCTAGGTTGCTAGAGGTTGCTCAATGAAAAAGACTTCAGGTTCCTGTTTGCAGCAGATGGCAGCACTCAACATAAGTTCAAAAGGAACAGATTCACAACATTTTCTTCAATGGGAGGCTGGGATAAAATGTAGAAGCCAAGTCACAGGTTGAAGATCCTAATAGGAACCATAAGTATCTTTGGGAAGAGATGAGCACTTCTGTGTCTAGTACATAACACATGGATAATAGTACTTCATGCTCTGCCCTCTTTCTTCATAGCAACCAATTTTAGGCATATATTTGGAAACTGCCTCCTGAAAGCCCATGTAGTGTTCAAAGTGTCAGATTAGAACCAGGGAGATCTAGTTGTAGCTCACCCTCAGGCACTGGATGTTTGGGAGACTGATATTCTCTCTTAGCGTGTTTGTCCTACCTTGCAGGGTTATCTCTGTAGGGAAAAGTGCAAAAAAATAACTTTATATACACTGTCTTCAGTTCTTGCAAGGAAGCTGGACTGTAAATCTAACAAGTAAAAACAGCTCCAGCAACTGCAGCTTGAGGGCAGCAGATGCTCCCAGCAGATTCTCTCAGTTGCCATAGCCTGCACAATCACTTAGCTTTTAGAGGATGCTGTATCAAATATTTATTTTTATTTTATTTATTTTAGTTGGTTTGTCAATTGCTTACAAGATAATAGGTATAAGTAAAAACATAGTTATGAATACATGGATACATATAAAATAGTATCAGAGTAACCAAGCTTGGCAATCACTCAATTTAGAAACACACCTGGAAAAAGCAAGTCATCTATATATTCATAGATAACTTTTAATCAGGCTGTGATTTCTTGGCAAACCTATTGGTGAGTCTTGCTTCAGAACAACTGTTTTGCCCTCTGGCTTTTGGTTATGTAAGGATTCTTGTGTATAATAGCCTAAGTATCAACACAACTGTTTGATGAAATACACTGAGTTATGAAATCCCTTTTTGGGAGTCAGAAAAACACCAGCGTTGTGTTGTAAATAATATATTAAAATACAGTATCAGGAGTCACCACATACTTTGGAATGATAGGTTTTTCTCCTGGACTTTGTAGTGAGATGAATGAGATGGCTGTGCTGCTCATATGAGTTTTTGTGGGCTGTTATTTGTTTCTCAGATTCCACAGTGATGACAATCAAAGATTCAACTTTTAACCTCTTAATATGTTTAAAACTCTCTAATTCGTTTAGACAAATTGTTCCTAAAGCTTTTGGACATTTGCATCTTGCAAATAACTGAGTAAGCCATCAGGACACAATTAACAAAACAAAACAAAAACAACCATTCCTCACAAACAAGTTTTTGTGTCCCTTTTTATAGTTCTGATGAAATAACACCTTCAGTGTGGTTCTTGAGACAATATTTGTGTCTCGGTAGAGACAACAGTTTCTGCCTTTTGTTAGCTCTACATGGGTTCGATGTACTAACTGCATTTCTCCAATCTTGCAGAGTAGTAGAGATAGAATGGAGACGAGCATTATCACATCTTGATTAGCATGCCGTTTCTTTAGTCTAACGCGATACTGTCATGTGATCCAGCGATCGATCCTGCAAGTAAGTTGTCTTTATTCATAGACGCGTTACATATAAATGATCACTAATATACTTGACCCAATGATATATTATAACTACATTCATCTGATAACGTGGTTCTCCAATTTAGTTCATTATTGGGGCGTGGCCGTGGGCATCCGATTCCAACCCTTGCGGTACAATGGATGATTCATAGCAACTCCAAAGCAAACATATTCATTCGCATAAACTACTATAGCACATTAATTTCTTTGAAGGTAAGGGCCATTTATATCCAAGCTTTGCAGAAGCGGACTGAAGCGGGCGGGACTGTTTTCGAAACTTGGCGGGTTTTTTGTTTTTGTTTTTTCTCAGCACGGAGAAGTAGAAACCTCGCCCTCTACCGACCACCTGTAGAAACGTCCTCCCTATCTCGTCCTCTCTATGGTCCAAGGGATGGCCGTTCTTCAGTTCCCTCCCCCTCTTGTCACTCCGAGGGTTGGGCATCGCGGATTGAGAGGCGACTCCCGGCAAGCGAGCCAGCCCCGCTACAGTTAGCCAGAGGACGCTGCCTTCTTGCTGGGAGAGGAAAAGCAGAAGCCCGAAGCAGAGGCACTGCCTCTCACCGCTTGGGATTATGCCCTTCACCACAGCCAAAGTAGCCACACGGCTGAGCCAAGGAATCACTGCCAAAAGAGCAGCCGTGGCACTGTTGCTGGCAGCATATGGGGCCAGGAAGTTGTACCCCATTCTGCGGAGACAGTGGGCTGCCTCCGTCCTCCAGGTGAATCCAGAGACCGCCAGCCCCAGAGAGACAACTGCAAAGTGGAGGGAACTCGAGGTGGCCACTGCATCAGCACCTGGTGTGAACAAAGTGTTTTTTCTCCGTCTCCTTCGACTCCTGAGGTTGCTTTTCCCAGGGCCACTGTGCCGGCAGACAGGACTCTTGGCCTTGCATTCAGCTGCCCTTGCTAGCCGCACCTTCCTTTCGGTTTATGTGGCCCAGCTGGATGGACGCTTGGCCCGCTGCATTGTCCGTAAGAACCCACGGGACTTTACGTGGCAGCTTCTTCAGTGGCTCCTCATTGCCCTGCCGGCTACCTTTGTCAACAGTGCCATTCGGTACCTGGAAGGGCAGCTGAGCCTGGCCTTCCGTGGACGCTTAGTGGACCATGCCTATCAACTCTACTTTGAGGGTCAGACTTACTACCGGGTCAGCAACATGGATGGACGGTTGCGTAACCCGGACCAGTCGCTCACTGAAGATTTGGTGGCCTTTGCTAATTCTGTAGCCCATCTCTACTCAAACTTGACCAAGCCTGTCCTTGATCTCATTGTGACTTCCTATACCTTGGTCAGTTCAGCTAGATCAAAGGGGGCTGACACAGCCTGGCCCTCATTTATTGCTGGTTTGGTAGTCTGCATCACTGCCAAGGTGCTACGTGCCTGTTCACCAAAGTTTGGCCAACTGGTGGCTGAGGAAGCACGCCGGAAAGGAGAGCTGCGCTACATGCATTCTCGTGTGGTGGCCAATTCAGAAGAGATTGCCTTCTATGGTGGACATAAGGTAAAGTAGGAGACAGAATGTCAATATTCTTTAGTAGAAAAAGAAGATTTAGGTTTTTAGAAAGAGGAAGTCTGTGGGGTATTTGGACACTTCTGGTTCTGAATGAGGAATAATAACACAGTCTGATTAGAAAAGTAGAGAGAAGATACTGTGTTTTTATTCTCTTTATTTAGTTCTACAGGAGAGGATAGTAATTTACCACCGTCTCCTGTAGGATTATGCCAAAATCCCCTGCAGCTCACTCGATTTCAATTCTGCCTTAGGTGAAGTGAAGCTGCCCCCAAACAGATTTAGACCAACACCTTGTTTACTTCCTTCCTCTGTTGTCTCCTTGAATATGTCCTGAGGCACATCTAGAGCTCTAACCTTGATTATAATCTAAAATCTGTCCTTGTTGCTAAGCTCAGTCCTTTCCAACTTCCTGTAAAAATATTTCTTGGTTTCTGTTGATCCTACCTAATTCAAACAGTTGAAGTTCAAGACCTTCTAAGTTTGGCACCGGCTTGTCTTTTAATGTTTCATACATTCCCAGGCCGAGGAGTGAACTGAAGGGCAGTAAATGTGTATGGTGTGGGGAAATTATGATTTCCAAATATAGAAATAAAAAATACCAGCAAGGAATATAGATGTAAATCAAAACCCTTGTTGATAAAGAATGGAAAAAGAAAAGATGTTTTAACACTGGGAAAGAGAATTTGATACTAATAGTCATATCTTTCATATATCTTACTTTTCCCCATTCTTTAGTTCTAATACTGCCGTGCCAGGTGTGTTCCAAGGCCAACATCTCTTCCTGTAATAACTTCTGTCAATAATTAAGAGTAATTTAAAGTCATATTTACACAAAATGCCAAGCAAATGGAAACAAATGTTTTCTGCCCCTTTCAAGGTTCACCCCCAATTTTTTTTTTTTAAAAAAAAAAGAATCGAAGTGCAACAGTTGCTTTTTCAAGCAAGGGCTCAATAATATCCCATGGCCAGCATTAGACATAACGTTTGTTATGTAATAGATGTCTGCATTCTATCAGCTATTGGATTTTGTAGGTGGCATAGGGAAGTTTAGAAGATTCTTAGAGTCATGTATTTATTCCATAGTTAGTCATTTTTGACTTTTCAGTTAATCTTTGCAGTTTGTATTACCTGTTTGCATATAAAAGCTACAGAAGAAGGACTGTAATTCAGAGCACATGTAAGCATACACTAACCTAATTATTTTTTTTAAATATACTTTATTGGTGTTACAATTTAAATAGACCAACAACACAAACATAAATTCAAGAAAAAAAAAGAAAACAAGAAAAAATAATCTTCAACAGTTTGTGAGACCTCCTTTTTATCCTTATTTTATGCCATATACACAATCCTTACATATATCTGTATATCACTACTATGATTCTATCATATCTTCTTTTGCCTTTTAGTATGGAATCTGTCCTTGGTCTATCCATTTGTACCAGCAGTTCCAGCTGTCGTAATATATTGAATTGTCTTTATCTTTTAATGCCAAGGTTAATTTGTCCATTTCTGCACAGCTTGAAATTTTTTGAATAATCATCTCCTCTGATGGAACATGAGGCTGTTTCCAACATTGAGCAAAAGCCAATCTGGCCGCCATCAAAATATGTATTATTATATATTTCACTTTTTTGGGTAGTTCTTTATCAAAGATCCCTAATAGAAAGGACTGGTTTAAATTTGATCTGTTCTCTTGTCATTTCCTCCAGCCAATTTCTAATTTTCTGCCAATATTTTTGAGCTTCTGTACAAGACCACCACATATGGAAGAAAGTTCCCTCTTTTTTTTTGCATTTCCAGCAGTTCGGACTCATATTGGGGTGCATTTTCGCTAATCTCGAAGGAGGAAGGTGCCACTTATAAAACATTTTATAGACATTGTCTTTGTACACTACCGATTTTGTGATTTTGTTATTTCTACCCCAGACCTTTTCCCATTCTGTTAAGGTAATACTACGTCCTATGTTCCTACTCCAGGCTGTCATGTTCCCTTTAACAATTTCTAATTCTACCTCTTAATAAATAATTATAAAATTTTGTTATATTTTTTTTGCCTGATCCTACTAAAAAATTTTCTAATTGCTGGAATTTATTATTAATTCTAAATTCTTTCTTGTTGTGTTTGTATCTACTTTGAATTTGAAGATATGCCCACCAATCAGTTTTTAATTCCTGGTCTTGAAGGTCTTGCCACGATTTCAGATTTCCTTGCATATCCAATAGGTCCCTATATTTAATCATTTTAGTAATATCCAGATTATTTGGGTGGGTCATTGCCTCCATTGTTGAGATCCAGATTGGTATCTTTAAGTAGTGTTTTTTCTGTATTTTCTTCCAATTAGTCAATAATGAATCTCTAATTAGGTGTCTGTGAAAATATTTCTGGCTAGTTTTCCCAATATCCCATAAAAAAGCATGCCACCCCCTTCTGTAAGTCATAGCCTTCTAAGAGTAATATTCTCTTATTAGTTAAATTCACCCATTCCTTCCACCATATTAAAGAGGCCGCACTATAATACAACTCGTAATTTGGAAGTGCCAGCCCTCCCCTGCTCTTCATATCCTGCATTGCCTTTAAGTTTATTCTAGGTTTTTTCCCTTGCCAGATGAATTTTGCAGTTATTTTATTAAGTTCTTCAAAAAACTTTTTGTGTACTTTAATTGGAATCATCTGAAATATATAGAGGAATTTTGGAAGAATATTCATTTTAATAGCAGCAATCCTGCCTAATAATGAAAGTTGCAGTTTGCCCCATGTTTCTAAATCCTTCTTTATCTGTTGCATTGATTTATCATAATTGTTTTTCTTTCGTGTCTTACAATGTGCTGTCAACCATATTCCTAAATATTTAACTTTTTAATCACTTGTACTCCCATAATTTCTTCTAGTTCCAATTTTTGCTTTTCTGTTAAATTGTTAATCATTAATTTCATTTTCTTCCTATTAATTTTTAGTCCTGCTACTGCTCCAAATTGTTCTAATTCATTCATCCATTTTTGTCCTCTTTCTATTGGTTCTTCAATGAAAAAAATCATATCATCCGCAAATGCTTGCAACTTATATTCTTCTTTTTTAACCTTTAATCCTTTTAAGTCTGGGTTCTGTCTAATTCGCGTTAATAATGCTTCTAGTGATAATATGAAGAGCAGGGGTGAGAGTGGGCAGCCCTGTCTGACTCCTTTTTCAATTTTTTTGGGCAGGTATATTCCCAGTTTATTATAATATTCACCTGCTGTGTATCATAAATTGTTGTTATAATATTTTCAAATTTGGTGCCTAAATTAATATTATAATTTTTTTGGATTAAAAATTGCCAATTTAAATTATCAAAGGCTTTCTCTGTGTCTAAAAACATAAGTGCTGTTTGTTTTTCAGGGTGGGCTTTGTAAGATTCTAAAACATCTAATACTATTCTTAAATTATTCCTGATTTGTCTGGTCAGGAGAAATCCATTTTGGTCTTCATATATATGCTCATTTAACATTCTTTTTAGTCTACTTGCTATAATAGAAGTAAATATTTTGTAGTCAGTATTTAGCAAAGAAATCAGCCTATAATGTTGTATATATTGGGGGTCCAAATCCTTCGGGATCAGTGAAATCAACGCCCCCCGTCCATGAGTCCGGCATCCTGGCTGCCAATAAGACATCATTAAAAACTTCCACCATAAGAGGTCCTATTTGTTCTGCTATTGCCTTGTACAGCTCCCCTGGGAACCCATCTGGTCCCGGGGATTTGTTGTTTTTCTGGTTCTCTATTGCTGATTTCAATTTGAACCAAGTAATGTCTTTGTTTAATCATTCATCAATTTCTTCCCCAATTGCTTTATCCTTCATTTCATCTAAATAGTTTCTTATCCTATCTTCGTTAACTTCTTCCTTTTTATATAACTCTTCAAAATATTTATGGGCAATTTCTTTTTTCTGTTCTATCCCTTGTTGTATATCCCCCTCTCCATCTATTAGCTGATAATCTTTTTTCTTTCCTTTTTATTAAGTCTATATGACAGCCATCTCCCTGGCTTGTTGGCATGCTCAAAATGAGTTTCTCTAGTTGTATTCAGATTTATAATCATTCTCTCTTGTTCAATTAAATTCAATTTATGTTTAGTTATTGTTATCTGATTTTGCAATTTTAAATCCTTTGGGCTACTCTGTAATTGAGTTTCTAATTCTTTAATTTTTTGTTGTAATTTGTTTAGCTGGGCGTATTTTTCTGTATTCCTCTTGGCATTATAAGAGATTGTTATACCTCTTATTACTGCCTTCATTGTATCCCAAATGTTTTGTTTCGTAGTTGCTCCATTATCATTTTCCTTCAAAAAATAGTTTAATTCCTCCTTGAGTTCGTTATTCTTTTTCTCTTATTAACTGAGTATTTAACGCCCATCTTTTCTTGGGTTTTTCCCTACCCTTCCATATTATCTGAATTGGATTGTGGTCTGCCCATTCATTGGGTAGGATTTCAATCCCTTTTATCTCATTTGCTATTTCCCCATTCATCCATGCCATATCGATTTGTGTCCATATTTGATGAGGATTTGAATAGAATGTAAATTGTTTTTTCTCAGGATGTAATCTTCTCCATATATCAATCAAATTTAACTCCTTCATCATTTCCATACATATTTTGGGAAGCTCTCTTTTTTTCCCCTTTGTTCCGTCCCCCATTACTGTGGTCTTTTCATAATCAGCAATAGAATTAAAGTCCCCTATAATACAAATATTTCTTTTTTCCAATCCTACTATTTTTCCATTAAGATGCTTAAAAAACTCTTTTTGATCTCCATTTGGGGTGTAGATTACCACTAAGAGAATTGGTATGGCATTAATCCAGATCTGCAAAACCAGAGTTCTTCCCTCAGGATCCGACCATATTAAATCTGCTTTCATATCCTCTTTAACATATACTGCAGTCCCTTTCTTTTTTCCCCGTGTCTGCTGGTGCAGTGAATAGCTTCCCTAATTTCGGGCATTCTAAGTATTTTTCATCTGATTTCTTTATATGAGTTTCTTGTAGACATAGTATATCAGCATTTTGTTTGATTAATTTGGGTATTATCCTTTTCCTTTTTATCATCGAGTTTAAACCATTTATATTAATTGATAATAGTTTCTTTTCTTCTTCCATTTGATTAGTTCTGTTTCACTCTTTGTCTTGTGACTGCTCCGGTCTCTCCTTGTGCCTGAGAATGTGTCCTACTTTCTTCTCTCTCCTGTTGTAATTGAGTATTTCCTTGATTTCCTAAAGTTCTATCTCTGTTCTTATGATAGCCTTGATCTTCCTGGGAGTTAGTTTCCAGTTCATCCTTACTACTCTGGTCTTCCGGGCCTACCAACCATTCATAACATTCCTGGGCCTTTTCCATGGAGTCTATTTTGATTTTCCTCTCATCCCAAGAAACTAACATTCCCTCTGGGATTAGCCATTTAAATACGATTCTTTTCTGATTTAAGTAAGCTGCTAAGAATTTATAATCTCATTTTTGTTCTCTTACTCTTCTTGGTATTTGCTTGAGAACCAAGATTTCTTTTCCTTTATACGTGATCAATTCATCTCTTGACATCCTATATATGATATCCCGGACACTCCTTCTCTCAAATCATATATAGACTTCTCTTAGGCATTTGTGGCGTCTCGCGTAATTAGTGCTAACCCTGTAAACTTCATCAAACTCCCTCAAGATGTCATCTTTATCCTTTTCCAATAATCCAGCCAACATTCCTGCCATTAGTTGTTCCAAATCTTCTTTTGATTCCACTATATTTTGGAATCTCAAGTATGTAGCAGCCTTATCCATCTCTAGGTAGACCAGTGAGTCCTCCATTTCTTTACTCACATTCTTTAATTGTTCATCTACCCTTTCTAATTTCCTTTCAGTTTGTTCTGCTCCTTTCTCTACCTCTTTTATTGTTACTTAATTTTTCTCCAAGGCCTGCTATAATAATCCAACTTTGTCCTCTACTTTGGAGATATCTGCTTTCATTTCTGCTTTTAGTTTCCCCATCTCCTCTTTTAATTCATTTATATCTGCTCTCATCTCATTATGGTTTTTCATCATTGTTTCCTGCAGCTTCATCATCGATTCCTGTAAAGTAAGCAGAATTGATTGGATGTTGGCATTCGAGATGTTAGCTTGTTTCTCCACTGGTAATGTTTCTTCAATGTTTTTTTGTACCATGGGCGAAGCTGTTGCCGACGTGGTTGTTAACGTCGGGGTGACCTTTCTTCCAGTTTTCAGAGTTGTAGTTGTTGTGGAAGTCATTTCTTTTAAGATTTGTTTCTGTTGTTGTAATATATTAATTATATCATCCCAAATTAACATTCAGTAATAGAATCTCTATATTAGGATTGACAGTTATCTAATTACTTAATCTATCTGCTGGATATCTGTACTCTTTGCCAATTTACTAGAATATAAGTTCTTATAGATAAAAATATTATCACCGTATTATTTTAAATCCAAATTCTAAATCACATATATAAAGTTGTAAGGCCTCAATGCTCATCCTCTATACGTAACTTCACATAATAGAAAAAAATATAAATATTATATCCAAATCCAACTATATTTAAATATTATAAATAAATATATGTATTATATAACCTTATTTTAAATATTCTTAAACACAAACAGTATTACATTCGGCCCCAAGTGGATTAATTAAATATTTAGAGTGATTGCACAATGAATTGTAATATTAATATATAAGATCCTTTATACTTATTAATTAAATAATACTTAATGTTCTTACTATTTTTTCCATATATATCTAATCAAAGTATAACTATCACTATTATTAATAAACCAATTAGATCAGTTAATTCAATTATTTAACGATCAATTAAAACAGACAATTTTCCTTCCCCCAGTATACATATTTATAAACATTATAAAGAGAGATTGAAAAAGGAGAGATAGTTCATCATAGCACCAGAGGGTGGGGGAGTAAAAAAAAATGAGCAGGTGTATACAGGAAAAAGGGAGTAGGGGAAAAGGAGTTTTAAAGTAAGTTTTTAGCTTTTCGTCTCTAAGTTTTAAGAACTTACACTCCAAACGCACCGGAAGTGGGGAGGTAAGAAATGCTGAGTAGTGACTATAATTACACGGTATCTCCACACATTCGGAAGCTTCCACTTTTGCTTTTCATCTTGGCGTTCCTAAGTTCAATTTTCCTGATTTTCTTCAGATGAAACCACCTCCTCAGTTGAATCGGTATACTTCCTGAAGGGCAATTAAGTGGTTTACATCAGTTATATTATTACAATAACTTCAGGATTTCTAAATATCACCTGTGGCGCCGCACTGTCTCTATTCCGCCGGCTCCGATCTTCTTCCCATCTCCGATTTAATAAAGTCTTTCAGCATAAAAATCGAATGAAATAGTCCAAATCCCCCACACCTTCCAGTCACCTTCCAGCCACTAGATTCCCTTCTATTAATATCAGTGTGGTATATCTCCCGACCTCGTAAGCTTCCCTTTTTACTCATTATTGTCCTCTATCTTTCTTCTGTCTGCCAAGCCCCTTCACTTTCACTTGCCGTGCGTCTGCTTTTCGGCTGCTTCTTTTTAGGGCTCCGGACAGATGCTTGTAGCAGCCTTATAAAAGTCTATAGCATTCCAATCATCCTCTCCGCCGCTAATTTTCTCTGCCACACTCTTTACCAATGATCCCACAAACTCACTCACTCGCTTCTTTACATCGGTGGCAGTCCAGACTTCGGAGCCGCCATTGATGGGTGGCTGTTTCTTGCTTGTTGGGCTCTAGAGGGTTCCTCTTCACTGCAGGGGGGTTGCCTTCCCCACACTGCAGCTCGAGTCTCCCCCACACTGGCACGAATCTCTCCAGGACTCGTGCACCCTCAAAGGATCGCACCAACCACAGAAAGAGATTAACTGAAACCACGGGCGGGCTTCTGCACCTCTGTTCGTCATTGCCTTACCACCTCCTAATGATTTTTTTATGCTATGCCTGATGTGGATGAGGAAATGTCACTTAAACTACATTAAGATTCATGGAATTCTGGTCCAAAGGCTGTATGCTCTGAAAGATTAATAAGGCCTGTAGGAAGTAGTGTAGGACAGCTGAGAGAAGATAAATATTAGATAAGAAAATGTATATATGAATTAGAGAAGATAAGAAAATGGACAAAAATGGACAAAAAGGCTGCAATTTTAAATTCTTAACTAAAATTGGGACAGGGAGAGTTCTACTGAAGGAACTCAGGGGCAAGTAGAGATTTTTGGAACTTGGCTGTAGAGCAACTAAAATCTAGAATTCTTATCCTTCATTTTCATCTGTTTATATGGACTATATGATTAATACTATATATTCTAGTCCCACTTTAGGCATAAAAGCCAGCTAAGTGACTTTGAGCTAATAACTCTCTCAGCTCAACTCACCTCACAAGACGGTTGTGGTGGGGAAAATAGGAGGATGAAAGAATATTGGATACTTTTAAGTTGTTTATAAAAATAATAAAGGTGGAATATTAATAAATAATTTCTACAGAGTGAGAGGGACAATCTAGTGCAGTTCATTCATTGAGATATACTTACTACTGATGACAGCAAATCTCTTTCTTTTTTTTATCCATCCCTGTTCTTTCACAATAGCTTAGCTGAAGGAACAGAACCCATACACGATACTTTCCTTGGAATAGAGGTAGCAGTGCTTATTTTTTTATTTAAAAACATTTTGAGTGACAGCAGAAGGAGAATTAAAAGCTAAGCATCTCTATTCTGCTGTATTTGAGTTTATTGAGAATGATCACTACGATGTTAGAGATTGGTTCATTTCTATGTTATCATATTATCACATAATTACACTAAAACGCAAGTTGGAATTAACCTATAGTGTTTCCTACATGATAGACAACAAGGGGATGATTAAATCTGCTACTTTTTAAAAATATTTTTAACATATCTTGTTCCAACTTCTTTAAAGACAGGCTGCTGATCTAAGTTCTAATAGATGATTTTTGCCATAGAAATAAAGAGTAAAACTTCAGATGGTGACTCTTATATATACAGTAAATATGCTGCAGAAGGCACTGACACTGAGGGGAGGGAAAATAATTTGGCTGTAACTTCTCATATTTGTAGAAATAATAAACTAAATTCTTTATCTGGGGTTCTCTGAGTTTTATATTTATTTGCCCTACAACCTAATTAGCATATTATAGTAATTAATGGTATTTTTTATCTTGGTTTATTCAATAAACTACAATTGCCTAAATCTGAACAACATTCTACATTATAGATTCTGATTACGGACCATTATGGCTAGATACACGCAATATACTAACCTATTATGATTTTTTTTTGTTTTAGTTTCATATGATTTGTGAACCCAGCCTATAAGAACAGTTGTCTCCTTCAGTCTAACAGTCTGATTCATTTGATTTTTATTCTTTTCCCTGATCCAGGAACACATCGGTTTGTCGACATCAGGGGTCTCCAAACTTAGCAACTTTAAGACTCGTGGACTTCAACTCCCAGAATTCCCCAGACAGCATGGCTGGTTGAAGAATTCTGGAAGATGAAGTCCACAAGTCCTAAAGTTGCCAAGTTTGGAGAGCCCTGGTCTACACGCCCCGGAGCTCCTTTGGTACATTTACATTGTTGAAATAAAAACTATATGGAGATGCCTTTGTCTTTGTGGTTGTAAACCTCAAGTCACTTTGTATCCTCCTGCTACTCTTTTCAGGTGGAACTGTCCCTTCTGCGGCATTGTTATCATCAGCTGGCCTCTCAAATCAATGTGCTGCTTCTGGAGAGACTCTGGTATGTGATGCTGGAGCAGTTCCTTATGAAGTATGTGTGGAGTGCTGCTGGGCTGGTCATGGTGGCTGTACCGATCATCACTGCTACCGGCTACTCTGAAACAGGTGAGGATGGGAGAAAGAAGCAAAACGTCTGCTCTTATGGGGGCAACATGGCCCAAAATAATAAAATGGACATTTAAGCTCATATGTTAACAGGCAGGAGCTGGAAGAGGATCAATATGGAATCATTAGGGATGCTTTCAAGATGATGGCTGAAACGCTACTTGCTATTTCACTGGAAGGCTTAGTGAGGTCAAAATAGCCCAGGGCAACTTCTCATTGGCTCATGTCTAGAGGTCTCATATAGGCCATTTCCACACTAGTGATTGATGTTATCCAACCATTCCTCTGTCTGTGTATCATGAGGACAATGGCTGGGTGATGTAGAGATATGGATTCATAGTGGGCACGAGTGTCTGGAGCATCGTGTCAGTATCTCCTTAAAGCTAACACGCTTTTTTCCCCCTATGATTGTATGGTGCATGATCCCAAGTAAAGACATACTTGTTTAAAGGAATTGCTATGTGCACTTTATTTATTTTTTTATTTATTTTTATTTAATTTATATTTCTGCCTATTCACCCATGGCAACTCGAGGCGGCTTACACAATGTAAAACCATATTTAAAACAAAAAAATAAAAATAAAAAAACAATAAAAAGTAACAAAAAGAATCAAATAAATGAGTAAAGTACAATAAAACAAAATTTGGGGGGAAAAAATCAATTCCCACCCCCCGCCCTGACAACAGCAGATCACACTAGCCATTTGATGGGCTCCATCCCTCTCTGGGTTCCTCAGGCCCATTGGCAAAACCAGGTCTTCAGTGCCTTCCAAAAGAGTGCTAGAGTGGGGGCCATTCTAGTCTCTGGGGGAATGATATTCCAGAGAGAGGGAGCCACCACAGAGAAGGCCCTTCTCCTGGGTCCCACCAGGTATATCTCCCTCAGGGATGGGACCCTCAGCATTCCCTGCCTCCTCGCTCTAATGGGTCAGGTAGATGTGACTGGCAAGAGACATTCCCTCAGATAACCCGGTCCCAAGCCATGAAGGGCTTTAAAGGTGACAACCAGCACTTTGAATTTCACCCGGAAGCAAATTGGCAACCAATGCCGCTCCTGCAGGAGAGGTGAAACATGTGCGCGCTGGGATCTGCACAAAACCATGCGGGCCACTGCATTTTGCACCAACTGGAGCTTCCGGATGCTCTTCAAGGATTTATACATGATCTCCAGTTCACACTTTCCCCTTCAGATCCAGATGTCTAGAATCATTAATATAGAAATAGTGACAGGAAAATGCAACCAAGCACAGAAAGATGCACTTATAGTAATAGAAAACTGAACAGATAGGAGAGAACTGCAACAGCCAGTGGTTTTATTATGCAACACCTGAGAACAAAAATAAGTTGTCTGAACACTGAAGTCTTGAAATACCACAATATTTTCAAGGTTGGAATAAATATTCCACAAGTACCAAATATTTGGCCTGGGAGCATATTTATCTATGCTTGCTTATTTTCACTTGTAACCTTATTCTTGGTGCTGTTCCACAGTAACCACTTGCTCAGAACTCCAATTTGACAGGTAGTGGAAAAGAAGAGGTAACCCTATAAGAAGTGGGCAGCAAGACTCCAGGTGACCACTACATGGCAGCAGAGAGTTTTCTGTATCTCTTTCCTTAATTGGGTAGCCATTGTAAAGGAGCAAGAGGAAAAACAGGCACGAGCGTTGGGATAAGGGAGTCAAGCTTTCCCGCTGGTTCTCCACCAGTTCCCAAACAGCTTGGTTTTCCATTAAAATTCTAAAATCATTGGTTCTTCCCCTGTTGATGGTTCCCTCTAGCAGTTTGTATAAGTACAATTACCTCTTTTACAGGTAGTCCTTGAATTAGAGCCAAAATGGAGCCTGCCCAGTATGGTTGGAGCCAGGAAGGCTGTTAAGTGAACTCCCTCCCTTAATGAACACCCCACCCCAATCACTGCTGTTCCTGATGCATTTGTTAAATGAACATACATTAAACACACAGGTTGTTAAGTGGAGCATGAGGAGCCTCACGGATGGGGGAGAGCCTGGGGGCAGGGCTGGTGCAGGCGAAAGTCCACCTGCCTCAGATCCCCCAAGGCCTCCCCCCACTTTCTGAGAGACCCCATTCTCTGCTTCCCACCCCTTGGGGTCCTCACAGCTGCTTGGGCCTCCTCCTCACACTTTGTCACCTATTGTTCACTTACCTTTCAAAGATCTCCAGAGCTCAGGAGATCTGGGTAAGGAAAGAATACTATAGGCCGCACCATTCCTGGGCCACATGACACAATCCCACAAGCAGCCATCTTCAGCGGACATAACTTCAGGATTGGGTCATAAGTACCTTTTAGAGGGGGTCTGTCGTAACTTTGAAGTGTGGCCAGTCTTAAGGACTACCAGTATTAACTTCGCTCATGTAACTTTTTCACCTGCTAGTTGTCCCAAATGCATGTCAGGAAAATGATTAAACTGTGTAAAATCTTTCTTCACACTTCAGTGTTTACATCTAATGCCACAGATATTTGAAGGATTAAGGGAAATCTAAAGAATGAATAGGTATCTTCCTCATGAAGCTTTATTACAGAAGCATTTTAAGGCAGTATTTGGAGTAATAGTATTTGATTAATAGTTTCGGGGAGGAATGCCTTTTTTTTTTAATCTGGACTCATCACAGGAGGGTTCTCAAGCTGGTATTTTCAACAGGTGCCCGACGGCAGAATAAGTGACCTCAGATTGGGGTTTCAAGGAAAGTGATTCCTAATGAGAAAATGGGATTCTAGGTAGTAGAAGTCAGTGGAGAAATTGAGATAAGTGTTCCAGCCTTTCTTCCCTGTCACAATTTTGTTCCGCCAGATTCAGAGGTGGTGAAACAAGCTGCACTGGAAATGGAAGAGCAAGAACTGGTAAGCTTGAGGACTGAGGCTTTTACCACAGCAAGGAGTCTGTTGTCTGCAGCAGCTGATGCCACTGAGAGGGTCATCTCTTCCTACAAAGAGGTACAGATGCTCAGTTGCCTGGGGAAGAATTGGGTCAGTCTGATCCTCCGATAAAGGATGTAAATAAGGATGTAAAGCCTCTATGTCTTTATAATCTCCTGAGATACAATTCTAAAAGGTGTATACTCCCTAAAGCATGACCTGCATTCAGGCAGGGCTTCAGTCTGAGAGCAGAAAGGCACCATACCTTGCACTGAAAGGCCTTTGACCTTGCACTACTAATATTTCATAAGATCAGTTTTCATCTGTTACTTAGACAAACACACTGAATCCTGCCCTCCTTTATGCTCCTCTCTTCAGAATAAGTCCCATTTTACTAGTATAGTAAATATAGTATTCGTTTCTGAGTATACATTCACAGGATCTGGGTAGATCTTTCTTACCTTCTCTATGGCTATCAGATCAGGTTGCAAAAATCTGGATGGTCATTAGGTAACAATAAAAAGATACAGAAGCCTATCTTTGCTACCATCTAGTGGTTATCTGGATTTTCACCCCAGATCTAACAATCATGTTCATACATTATGCTAGCACCAAAGCCTATACACATTGTGGCTTAATATCAAGCCATCTCTCAGGCTTATCAACAAGGGTGGGATTCAAATTTTTAAACAATCAGCTCTGTGGGCGTGGCTTGGTGGGTGTGGTCATGTGGCTGGGTGGGCGTGGCTATGCAATCATGTGACAGGGTGGGTCAAAAGAGAGAAACTCACTTTAACAATGCTCTTAGAGCAGGGGGTTGGACTAGGTGACCTCCAAGGTCCCTTCCAGCCCTAGATTGCTGTGCTGTTTCAAAGCATCCTCTGAAGCTGCATCTAGCGCCAGGGTTTGTGGTCCATCCTTCCTTCCTCTCCTTTTTCTCTCCCTCCTTCCCTCCCTCCCTCCTTCTCTCTATCCATCCATCCATATCTTTCACTTTCACTTTCCTCTTTCTCCCTTACCTCCTTTTCTTTCTTTTTCTCTTTCCTCCCTTTCTTTCTCCCATCCCATCCCTCTTTCTTTCTTTCTTTCTTTCTTTCTTTCTTTCTTTCTTTCTTTC